GTAAGTCATGTCCTGCCAAAGCAGCTACACCAGCGTTCCATTATCATTCACAGGGCTATTGCCTTATTGACATTGTTGTGGGGTTATAATGATGATGGCTAGTGTTGCTTCATAGCGTCATCTAGTCTTGAGTTAAGATATACATGTGGGGTGATTACTGTGAGATGACCTGATGGAAGAGGTTGACGTCCATTGGGATTTGATATCCAGCTCCATTGTGCGTTTAAATTACTGTGAAGTCAATGCAATTTAAAATGTTTTTAAATTACTACAAGTACTGTCATGGAATGGTGCGTGTGCTGGATGGAGTTTTGCACCCTTCAGTCTTGACAGTGTATGCAAGAAGTGGCAGTTTTGATCAACCAAGAGGTCAAGGACACGAAAGTGTGACAGCACTCACACACCATGTATGGTACGAGCGAATCTGTCTCCACTGTCATGTCACACATGCAAGCTTACATAACGTCCTGACTGTTTCAGCTGTTAACATGTTGCTGTCAGGGAAAGTGTGTTGTTTTGTGTTTGAACGAGTGCATGCCCGAATGGAACCTTGGTGAACGATAACAGGGACTATTCACAGTCTTGCGTGTGACAAAACTTCACATTTTTGAAGTGCGTATCACTTCACCTCTTTTGTATACCAGAATGTGTAACACTGTATTTTGTAAGATCATGTGTTCATTTGTTTGGTGTGAATGTGACTGTGGCCATAAGTACACCTAGTCTTGCATGATAGTATCATTAGGGTCTCATCGTTATGAAGTACATGTACCAGTACTGGCACCAATACACTCTACTGCCCTGCTGGTGCCGCTGCTTGCCGTACACTAGTGTACCAGCAACACAATTGTAGTGCCCAGCGTTTTATGGTAGGATCGGTATAACGTTTGTCAAGCCTTTATCCGGAGTGCATGTAAGCACTTCACGCTTGTATCATCAGCTTAGGATTTTCTAAAGTCAGTTCTTTTCACAGTTTCGTTTTACACGAGCTACACAAGGCCGTTCCACTTTGCTACCAGGTAATTAGGAAGCAACTAATGTACGAGCGAGTACAAGTACATTTCCACTCGATCCTAACCAGAGAAATCCAACCCAAGCCATGAGTGCTCGTATAATAGCGCCCATGGCTAGCTAGCGGCCGTAGCTAGCCATGGGCGGATAATGCCGGCAGAAAAATAATTGGCAGAGCTAACTTGGTATGTTTGCTGATGCGTTTCATCCATGTTTGGCATGTGGATAAAAAATGGAGTACTTTGAAGTAGAATTCAAGGAAGTGCCTAGCATAAGGTTTGTATGGTTCTGCCAATTTCACTGCTTTCCGAGCAGGATCTGCCAATCTTTGGAGCATCATCCGCCAAGGGCTACAGATTGTATCTCTAGCATCACAACCACCGCTCTGCTCACTTGAGCGTGGCGCTATTGTAACTTTATTCAAGAGGTCGGATTTCTCAGTTGCCAGAACTGTACATGATTTACTACTAGTACAGAGCTGGCAACTGAAATCCGACCCCCTGAGCAGTGGGCTCACATCGCAAAGACCAGAAATAGAGGCCGCTAGAAAGTGAACGCGCCGCCCATGGGGTCGGATTTCATTTGCCAGCACTGTAGGACAGTCATGTCGATTATATGTGTGAGAAGGTGAAAGTTCAGAAACATTCTATTGGGTACATCACGATAGCCATTCTCAGAACCTGCGCTGAACCTGCACAACCCGACCGTAAGAACTGCTTCCAGCGTCCAATTCTAGACAGACGAAATCCAGCCTGAACTGTCTGCGTACTGCGAACGCCCTATGTGTCACGCCTGATGCTCGATAAGCTCGCTTCGCCTGCCCTTTTAGACGTCTCAGTAGACAGAGGATGGACGTGAGTAAAAACTAAAGTTCACACGTCCGCGTTTCAAATGGCTATAATTGTGTTGAGAAACACAACCAGCTGAGGAGGTTTCGCTTGTGCGAGGCCACCACCATGCCTGGTAAACCGGGGTAGCAGATGCAGCGCCTAGACTGACATACATGTAGTCATGTACATGTAATTGAAATAATTGATTTGTGTACATGGTGCACCTGAACAGACTCAGAGGAATGTCTGGAATCAACGTGGAGCCCTTTGTATAATGGATTGGCACAGCATCCCAGTACAATTGAACCAAGGAGTGCCGAAAATGTCTGTAGAAATGTGCTGGAAAGTGCGACCAATTTCCTTCGTGTACATCGCAGTAGTGTAGTCTGGTGGTGTCACCAGGGTCTGCGCTCTATCCGAAGCCTTCTTCATTATTATTACTGGTCAAGCAGTTGAGTGAAAGTCTTCGCTGTTCTTGACTCTAAATTCTGCTCAAAAGCCATAACTGGTACCAGAAATTTCTCAGGCCAAGTTTTACTCCCATAGATTGTCTTATCAAAAGCTGTCTAACATTAAGCAAGCCTTAGAAGATAAGAAAGGATTACAAAAAATTAATACCAACTCGCCCGACCCTCATCGTCACGTTCACTGACGATTCCCCCGAGGCGCTAATCTGACTGACATCGCATGTTGACCAGGGACCATACGCTACTCGCCGAGCGCAGTGCATCTCTCTCCTCCCCCTCACAAGCAATGATGCTGCGAAAATCTATTGGTCACCCAGCTAGAAAGACTGAGTGTAGATAAATAAAATTTCATTATTTATTCATAGGTTTGAGGGAATGAATAAGGGGGGGGGGGGGGGCTAATGCCTAATGGTTATCAACAACAATAGAACTTCTCTATCCACAACTGTGGAAACCTTGGCTTGAGTCCATATAGAGAATGCGTTGAGTTACTTCAAACTGATCAGCAGCAGATTCCAATTGATTATAAATCAAGATCAAGTGGTTTCCTGCAGCTTCCACGATTCAGGCATTATTTTCTTCTTGCCTGGCTACAACGAGGTCCTTTAAAATGTCTTTTTTGCCATCAATCCCTTGAGTGGATCTGTAACGTTCTGAATGCATAGTGATCAGCATTTCGCGATCGAATTATCTGCGTTTTACTAAGCACAATTGTATGATTTCCCAACGACCAATGCTAATCGGGAATCATTGTTCAACTTGTAGAAAGATTATTATTTGCATCATGGAACTCGGAGCTGGGTGTTATAAGATCTCAAATCTGCTAGGTTTTGCAGCAAAGGTGCCTTGTAAAACTCAATATCTAATGATACCTGTAACATACACAGGCAGTATACTTGTTTACCAAATTGAATAATTGAATAATCTTAGATCCTTTGAGGTTTGATGATCTTGTGATGCTAAGAATGGATAGACTTCTGAAGTTCGTTCGAACATTGATATTTCTCATGGCTGTGGGAGCTTATGAAGTTATGGAGGGGTTTTCTCTCCACATATGGAGTAAGAAAGAGGGAAGAAAGGAGAAGAAAATGAGTGTTGCAACTGCAAAGTCATGCTGTTACTCAGTATTGAGCGCAACCTCAAATGAACGACCTAAACGGAGAGAGAAAGCCACGAGCGGATAGTCTGCGACTTGGAGCATTGTACGGATAGGGTGAACTCATTTCTCATCATGACTGTGTTTCAATAGATGGTAGAAATGACCACCTAATGTCCTTATCTCAGTAGCTCATGATGCAAACACGACACGTGCGCGTCAATAACTACATGTATATCAATGAAGCCCTATTGTAAAAAAAAGAGTAAAAGAAACTCCAGCTACAATGTAATCCTAGGATAGGCCCAGTCTTAAAAATGCCGGTCACGTCTTTTTCGTCTTCTCACCCACACTCGATTTCGGTGTAAGGATGCTCCGCTCCCTTGTCAATTATGCCAGGTAGTGAATGCACCCACACTGGACCACAGGCTATAGCTTCATAATAATTATGTCAAACCATACGTCCTCCTCCCCACCTACCTTCAAAGACTACGTTGTAGAGGACTTCAACAACGTCGCGTGTCCGATTACAGGTGGCTCGATTACCAGATTACCAGAGCCGTGTTGCTGGATGGAGCTACATGTACCGGTATGTATATTGTAGACCACGTCAAGACAGAGGTCAAAAGCTTGATCCCGCTGATGCACCAATACGGCAATAGCTATTATGAAAGAATTAGCGCCAAGGCGGCAACACTTTCCAGGACACGTGATATGTTAGCCGTCGCATCATACATGATTTTGGTATGGTCCTCCCTGGCCTGGGCTGGACCTCATGATACAGCCAGCGCCCATCTAGAAATATCTCCCAGTCGCGTGGCCGTTCGAGCTGCAATACCATGCGCCACTGACTCTGTACTGCCGAGTGTTGGCCAGTGGATATCAGCGGCGTGAACAAAATTTTTGGCATTGTACTGCACCCTGCAAGGCTGCAACAGACCTCCCGCCCCGATCCCCTCCGACTCATCATAGTGACCCATACTTCATCACTCAAAAGACAAGTCACAGTCGAGTCATGTATGGTGCATGCAGTATTTAAAAACTCCATCCATCCAGCGTCTGCCGCAGGATGTATGCATCGAGCTAGCCCAACGCGGCGCGCGGGACTGCCAGCGGCTGTGTAGATTTTGACAAGTGTTGAAGCATACTGTACCTGAGACTGAGGACTGCAGCGCAGCCCAGCCACTGACAAATGCATGCTTGACGCGCGGATCGGATAAGAGTCCAGCTATCGACAGGTGGCGACCACTAGTGTTGGCACCACCTAGTCAACGCCTGCGTCATGCAGTGATAGCAGCGGTGCGAAAGACGACGGGTGTATCACTAACCAAAACATGAAAATGGAAGCTGATTTCCGTCCTCAATGGTTCTAGATAGAATTCATTGGAGGTGAAGTGCAGCAGTGATTTGTCAGGACCAGTCCGAATCGAGTAGTCTGAGTAAAAGAGATCAATGCCAGGTTCAGGAAAGCAATGTCATTCTGATTTCTATCTCCCCAGCCCAATCCAGGCAGGAATGACAGTTTCTCTGACTGCATTCCGGTACACAATTCCATAACAGGGAAACAGACACCAGAGCTCCAAACCTGAAGCTTTACTTTGAAGATTTTTCCAGATTTGGGCCATGACATTTCACAATTTTGCGTGGATGCAAGCTGCTGAGGCACTAAATCAATCAATCATTGCAATGTCAATGAGGCGAGGGAAGCTAACATGTAGGTCTACACGCACAACGAACAACAGTTTAGACGAACACTGAGTACAATCGTGTTATTAATTATAAAAACGGAACAAGAAGCTCAGCACAGAGCATTTGTCGATCGAAGAGAGACGCTGGCACCATCCCGAAGTTTAAAGTCCTGTAAACAGTAGATCTACATTGTATTTTCTGGTAGCACAGCATCAAAATAATAATTCTTCGCCTTAGCCCCCAGCCTAGGTGTAGGTCGGAAGCTGAGGCTGATATTTATCCATTGCACTGGGATTCTCGCTATCATCTGGCTCGCACCTGCACAGGCTGGAGAGTGAGAATCAGGCTGCAATCTGGTAATCGGCTCACTGTCGCCCCGGGACCAACTCTACATCAGGCAACACGATAACCTAGATAACTGCTTACACCAGCAGTCTATGCGCAATGCTATTCGGCTGCTAGATAAAATAGCGGTCATAGTGCTGTCTTCTGTCCATACTTGTGTAGTCGGATGTTTTCTTGGCAGTGAAGGGCACTTTGCTCACCGAGAGGCCGGTACGAGCACATCGACTACTAGCGCTCTACTTAGTGTTCGACATCGGTGATATGCTACTACTACTACTGCTGGCCTTGTGTCGTTAGAGCAAAAACTGATCAAGGTCAACAACACCATCTCAGTGATTCAACAGACGTCGCAAGTATCGGACATTTGCGAACCACTCACCATCCGAGTCCCTCGCCTCTCTCAATCAGCAGGCCAAAAACTATTTTGACAGACGAGACACGACACGGGCGTGTGCCGACGGCCGCCAAGCCGAGTTTCCGCAAAACTCCAGCCTAGTATTTCGTACACGTAGGTCTACGCAGTACCTACATGTAGCTGTGTGGCTGCTTGGCTGAGGACAAACACGCAAACAGGCGAAACCCAACATCACACTCACGTTCTCTCATCCCGCTACTGGAATCAGAGCGATGAGCAGCGCCTTTTCCAAGAGAAAGAAGCGTAGGTCTACTACTCCAACATTAGCAACAAACAGTCAGTATCACGGATTTGTGAGGTAACAGTTTTGAACTGCTCGTCACCCAGTCACGGGGATTCCGTGTGAGTGCGTTCTGCGCATCCTTTGAAAGTGTTCTCCAAACGTTGTTGCATCCTGGATACACTGACACCGGGCGGTTGGTTGGCGAGCGTCGATTGAACTGACCGATGCTCAACAAAGCAACTATTCCTCTCACAGCGTCAGAATCAACCCAGGGACAAAACTTCAGAAGCAATCACCGTGGCGCGAGCTGGAGCAGAGGATATCACATCCAGTGAGCGTGCGACGTGATCCATTCGCCTTGCTGCTGCACTGCACTGACCAACTGGAAAATAATTTCACGGCGCGCACTGGAGCGTGATTGTGTCACTCGCCCGTTAGTAGTGTTTAGCTACCGTTGGAGAAGCTCGCTAGATTTCAAGTTCATCCCGCTACGAAATTGTAGGGGCCGTGAGACAACTATTGGGTCGCGATCAATGACGGGAATCTGTTTCTCCTCCGTCTGAGGGAGGTTTGCGGTGCGCGATGTGCTGCAGTTTGCTGTGAGAAGGTATCGGGAGGTTGTTTGTTATCAATCGCGGCAAGTGTTTCTCTCGGCTCTACACTTTGTCGAGTCGCTGCTCTGTTATCGCGAGCGTTGTGGTAGCGCCCTGTTGAGTGTTTTAGCGTGCTCTTGGCCAAGCGTTCCAGATTGCAGAAAGGGATCGTTTGGAGCTCCCCCTCCGCACTCCGTGCTGGTGTGTGGTGCCTCTTGTGCAACACAATACGCACTTGGTGACAAAGAGCTGAGCGATAACCCACGCGATAGGAGTGCTAACTTTTCAAGGCCAGTAGGGCCGCGAGGCTGAAGATGAGGGACGGAAGCAAGGCCGATGATACGCCGTCGGAGGCCGTACGGACCAGCCAGCCAGTGGACGTAGACGAAGTCGATGGGAATGCAGTCGCCAGTCTACGGCAGCCAGCGAAAGCCAACGGTAATGGAAGTGTACAGAGGCGATCTAGCGGCGGGTTGATGGGACGCTACTGGTCGACTACAAGCGTACTGGATATGGCGAATGCTTACAATCGCAGCGTGATGCCCAGCATGCTGACGGACGCTGAAGAGCGAATGTTGGAGGACGTCGAGGAGGAATCGTCTGACTGGGAAGATAGCGATTGCGAGAGTGAACCAGACAGTGCGGGGGACAGTCAAAGCGACGACAATGGGGACGAGGAGCTGCTAGCGGCAACGACGTCCGCCCTGTTCCCAACGTCTCTCTCCCAGCCTGAAATGCACGCTGATCTGGCAAGAAAGCGCTCTGCATCCCTACCCAAAACCAGCAGTGATGATGGTGCTCTGGAGCATTTGAGCGCAAGACGACAATCCAGTAGGCTACTGAGAGGTGAGAGTTTGAGAAGGCAGCTGTTCCAGGAAACAATGCTGAGCAATCCAGCGCTGAGACGGAATTCCAGCGTGGAATGCCTGCCTATGCCCGATGCAGCAGGAGCAGGGAGTGTGGACTTGGCGGATGGATGCGCGGCGTCTGCAGGGAGGTCGGACAGGGTCAAGCCCCGCCACACCGTCATCGGGTACTCACTGCCCGTGTGGAGTGCACCGGAGAGTCGAGGTCCGTCGCGACAAACATCCTCGTCCGCCACCGCCGCCATCACCGCCGGTGCTGCCGAGGACCACAGCGTACTGCAACTGTGCACCAGCGAGCCTGTGCGATCCGCATCTCCCCGATTGACCGACGACAGTGCACAGCGATGCACTTCCGACACGACGTCGGCCGCGGCGCACAAAAGCCGCTCGCTGGGCGCAGTGGGTACCGACCATCGACGCAGTTACATGCTCGCCATCGACCCGTCCGAACTGAACCTGGCCAAGTCGGGCACGGGCACACTGCGCAAGATCAAGAAGAGCTTTGGAAAGGTCTTCAAGCACAGAGACTCGGTGCCAGGAGCGTCGAAAGAAGCAAGCAGCGCGTCCGGAGTTTCCAACGATAGCGGCCTGGAGTGTTCGCCGCCAGTGTCCTCTACCCTGGAGCATCAGGAGTCGGTGTTTTCATCCACAGAGACAGCGGACGACTTTGTCTACTCCACCCCGGCCAGAGAGTTAGCAGCCAAGCAGCGCAGCCGTGTCTCCTCCGCTCCCGTCCCGTCCCGATTTAAAGACATGCTGAAGAAGAAGAAGACGACACCCGAGCGTCACTCCGTGGCCGAGTCGATACGCTCTGACGATACGTGTAGTTCGCTGAGCGATCATTCTTCTCGTGAGTAGTGGTGTTGTCGTCTGAGCATTGTGTGTGTTTGGTATTTTGGACATTCTGGTCGTGACAATTCGTTTAAAGTGCCCTAGTAGGGAAAATGTATGTGTTGTGTCCTGTAATGTACGTTGTTAAGAAGAAAACTATTCTAGTACGTACGGAAACATTAAACATTAAGAAATTGTTATACCATTCAAGTACTCAGAAAACGCATGGAAACGGACATGTACAAGTAGCTCACAGGTCCGGCAATGATTATGCCGCCCTATGCTTGTGTTTGGACTGGGTACTGCTGTTGCCCTGGCAATTTGTATCTCGGAGATGACCCGTGAAGATGGAACATGTAATATGTGGCTAAATTAAGTACATGTATCCTTCCAATGTTATACTTCGAAGTATTAAAACATAGACTACACCAGGGTGTCTATACAATCATGAATATTCGCCATGAAATATGGCAGGAAATCCACAGTTGTATTGACAGTATGTGTGTGTCTCTCTCTTTCTGGTGGTGTGTATGGTATACTCTGTGCATCCTTAGGTGGCTCATCGCCATCATCGGAGAATGCGCCGGAATTTGCGCACCGGGAGCGCAAGGCGACGATACTGCAGCGCTTCCAGTCGCCGATCCTGACGCGGCGATGGAAGATGATGCAGGAGGGCCGATCGGGGCTGGATCGTCAGCACAGCAGCAGTGTCCCCACACACCTCCACCACCTGGAAACGGTAGGTTACTCTTTGCCCGTTTCCCTCCGGCAGATTGCACGTTGCCAGTGTCCGATATAGTGTCCTGTTGCGTCATGTTGTTGTTCGCGTCTGGTTTCAGCCCGCGTCCAGTTGAGCGGTGTGTTCATGCCCTGGAGCTGATTCAATTTGCAATGCCAACTGTGTAGGAGTGACCAGTTTACACAATAGAGTTTGGTTTGCAGATGGACGTGTGCAGTCTGTGTTCGGGTGTGGCAGCAAGGCGCTCGGCCGAGATGGCCATGGGAGCATGTATCCCCCTTCTTATCGGCCCTCCATAGTTATGCTGTTTCCATAGTTATGCTGTTTGCCACACGATACGCTCATGTTCTCAGGTACATGACAAGTATAACACTGGTTTGCTGGTTTGAAATGTCACGTTCATATCGTCTAGAAGTGCCAAGCTTCTCAGCACTCTAAGTCTGGCATTGCCATTTGTTTTCCACTTCTGCTCAATAGGGATCGAGTCCTGAGCCGCCTATCCGTCCGTTCATTCGCAGACTCATGGACATCGAGCCAAGGCATTTGGCCGAGGAGCTCACTCTCCTAGATGCCCATCGTCAGCAGCAGATTCAGGCCAACGAGCTGATCGACTGCGCGTGGATGTCTAAGGACAGGGTAAGTTCATTCCTTGTTAGGGAGTGCTCTGGTTTGCCCAGAAATTCACATTCTCATCAAATCTGAGTTCACTGATATCCTGGACTGTTATGTTTCTGTGCACCATAACCAGCAGGGCTCCGTTCTATACGAGCTTTGTATTTTTCTTTCATTCTGGACCTTGGTGCAGAATATGCACTTGAGATGATTATTCTGTGGCCTAAATCAACAGTGTTCCAACGGATACATGTGCGTCAAAGGAATGTCAGATATGTATGGCTTTGCAATTCGATAATCAAGCTTGTTAATACTCGATCAGGAGGAGGATTTTAGTAAACATTACTAAACAAACTCCTATTGTAGACCCTTCTCTTTTACTCGTTGTGAAATTCCTGTTTTTTCTCCCGTTGCTGTTCATCTTCCAGGATGTTCGAGCGCCGAATATCATGACAATGGTGGAGCATTTTAACAGACTGGCACTGATCACTACTAAGGAGGTCCTGACGCCAGCGACAGCAGAAAAACGTGCCCGAGCGATCGGCTACTTCATCAAGGTACGCCTGCGACCCTTAGCTGCTCATGCACTGTTCTCGATTCCTTGCTACTAATCCTTTTCATCATGCGTGCAAACAGCAAGTGTTGTAAAGTGGGTTATAATGGGAGGGAGGTTGGGTCAAATGGTGAATTTTATAGTTGGACAGTATTGTTGGAATCTTCTTGCACATGTTTCCCACTGTCTGCTGCTGTTCATGTTTACAAACTTTCGTGCATTTCTCCTGTGCTGTGCCATACTTCAGGTTGGTGAAGAGTGTCTAAAGCTGCAGAACTTTAACTCCCTCAAAGCTATCTTAGCTGGTCTCCAGTGCACGCCAATGTTCCGACTGCAGAGAACGTGGAAAGAAGTCTCGGCCAACAAGATGAAGTAAGACCACTGTTTCTCTTTGTGCAGTGTCTATGTGATTGTGTATCATTGCGTGGTGCTGCCAGTCTGCCAGCCGATAATAATTTCTTCATACCGGAATGTTGAAGCCGGGATAAATATTCAACAGAACGGCTTGCTAATACTTCAAAGCAGTTATTGTAGTTAGACCTCGGGTCGGGGGGGGGGGGGGGGAGTAATGCACCGAGAGTGCTGGTGAGACCCGGAGCTTTGTGCAAGCCAATTCAGTGTGTCTCTCAGTCTGGCAATCTCTACGTGTAGTAGTGGATTTAATTGCACTATGTTTTCTTCAATTATTGTTGATTTTGGAATGGGGATGGGGGGGGGGGGGTAACAGAGGAGTTGTTGATATCTGGGTTCTCAGCTCATCGTAGTGTGGTTGTTTGCATGTCTCGGTGCTATCAGGCTTGGCCTCTGTGATGCGCCATTGAGTCTCCAGAACGGCAACTTGTGTGCCCTTCACATTGAGATTTAGTTTTGGCAATGACCTAACTGTTATCTCCTTGACCTTTCTGTTGTTTTTTCCAGGCGATTCGATGATCTATCCGAATTGATGACCGAAAACAAGAACTATGTAGCGTACCGGCATCGCATGGTCAAAGCTCTGGACAATCCGCCGTGCGTTCCGTTCCTGGGAGTCTTCCTGACGCAGATCTGCCAGATGGAGACGTTCCACCAGATGCACCACAAGCGCAAGCGCAGCCTGCGTGGGTCCACACGCCGGCGCCTGTCGCGGCGCGGCACCAAGGGCAAGAACGACGCAGACAGCAGGCCGGCGGTGCGACGGAAATCGACGAAGCGTACTCCGCGCCCACCGCGTGCTCCAGCGGCGGAACGGCTGTCCGAGCTGCCAACAATCAGCCAGACGGATGAGATTGACGGCACCGGTGCGGATGACCAGACGTCTTCTGTAGCTCCGGAAAGCCAGCCATTGCCTGTAGAGAGTACGGACAGTAAGAACAATGCATCACACACCACCGCCTGTGCAGAGAGCCAAGACCGTGCCAATGACGTTTCTTGCGCGTCATCGTGTTCGCACGAGTGCCCACTGGATCGTGTTAACACGTCTCGGCTGCACGAGCATCTGAATGGCTTTGCAGCTCAACTAAACGGCCACATCAACACCAGCGAAGAAGACACTAATATCACCAATACATGTAGCGATGCCCAGGATTCATGCACTGACAGAGAAGAACGCCATAGTGAAGCTAATCTGAACGAGAACGAGATTGCCAGACAACGCGCTGGATCGACGTCCCCTGCGTCAATGCGCTTTGCCGAACTCACCGACACCCGCCGCCCACACGACAGTCTCATCAGCGAAGACAGCGCGTACGTCAGTGACTTGGGCAGTCGGGCGAGCAGCACTACGCTGATGTACCGCAACGACAGTAGCTACGAGGGCAGGGATGAAAGCGGAGCACTCGTCAAGCGTGCCTCGTCTGTTGACCAGCCAAGTCCTCTCACCGAAACACATACCACTTTGCATGATGCATCCCAGAAGATACCGGAAGACTCTGAGAGTGGTGTCGAAGGCACTGGTAGTGAAATACCAACAGTGGCAGCTAATGCATCAACTGAAGGAAGTAGCAAAGACACGTCAGAGCCGCTGAAGACTGAAACCGTGGATGGCCCTGCAGATCAACCTGGCCTCGAAACCTCGCCTGACGACGTGGAAAACACTGGTGATGCAAAGTCAAGCGATTCTCCAGACGGAGTCGTCAAGCGGGCACACGAGAGTTTGAAGCGTAAAGTAAAGGAACAGCATCAGCTGTCATCGTCGTCGCTCCGCTCAGCCAACTCTGGCAATGTTCGTGAACGGTTGGCCACGGTCGTTGGTATGGTACCCAGCCCTCGTCCGAAACGACGCACGTCCAGCGAGACGAGTGTCAGTCACAGCGGCAGCAACACGCTGACAAAGCTTCGTGTGCAGTCACCAAACTCCTCGCTGACCTCTGTAGGCGAATCGGCACAGAAAACTGAAAACTCGACGGCCGTTGCGGCGTGCGGTGGAGAAGATTCCACGGCCGAAGCGGCAGCACCGGCCACCGCAGAACGACCACTGACCATCCAGGATTCAGCAACTTCCCTGAACTGCCAAGTCAGTCCGCACATGTCCCTGGCCGAGCAACTGCGGCGCTACAAGCTTGCTGCCAGCTGCTACCATCACGCTAGCAAGCCGTGGGTGCGATATCTGCTGGACAACTACGTATGCAATACGGAAGAGCAGAACTACCTGCTGTCGTGCGAGAGAGAACCGAGACAGGAGTCGAGGAAGTCCTGGTACGAGCGGCTGACATCATGAACTCCTACTCGTACGTATGATACTCTTGTTGTTATTATTATTATCCATCCGAGTCCATTATTATTATTACCTTGAATCCTTTCTATCTGGCAACTATGCAGCAGAGCCTCAAGTATCAGAATGTTGCACATTTTTACTACGATTACCTAGATGCTAGCTGACACTGTGAAAGAATTTGTGAAAATTATTTTTTGTTGAAGAGCCGCTTGCCTCCCTGCTGACGGATGTCTTGAGTTCTCTTATATCGATTATCGGCACCGAAAGATGGAATTTTCCAGAATTTCTCATATTTTGATAGCAATATGGTCATTCTTGATTGACATCGGTTTGTGTTATTTTCGCCACTTTTCATCGGGTCATCGCCAATCCAGTTTACTTCAAAGAAGAGCATTACGGCTACGAACTAGCGCTCCTTATGTGTCCTGTTGAAATTTTACTACTTTTAGAGTTGCCAATAAGCAAACGCCCAATACTCTTGCTGCTCATCAGCCTTGAAGATATTTTATGGATTTCTGAAAGAAGTTCCTTTTCAACTAGATTTATTGTTGCTGTGGATACGTCGAGGGGGGGGGGGGGGGGGGGGGGAGGGTAGGTCCGTTGATCTGGACGTTATGCAAAGTAATAAGTTACTGGTAGCCTACTTGCAGTCGGATCCTTTCCAGTGCAGGATATTAATTGTGTTGTTTTCAAAACAATTTTTTAACAAAATTTATGGTTCTACCCGTGATATTCTGTGTCACAATTTCTGGGTTCAGGGCGATTGAATAAAGATGCTACTACAAAGAGTAATGCTAGTAAGCTCCTGTGCTCTTGCTATTGCATGTAGGGTTGTATTGGAGATATACATCTACGTGTACCGTAGCGATAGCTTGGTGGTGCAAAATGCCAATGAATGTCATTTAAAACTCGGATGTTGAGCCAATAATGTCATTTATTTAGTCATTATGCAGGATCTAGGAGCGTTCGTATGAAACCTGAAACAGTCTGCTGGTTGCCAGCGTGCATCTTGGTTACAAATACGGGTCCATGGCTGAGTGTCGTTCCGCCGTCCACTGACACAGCCCACTTCGTTTTTTGCCAGAAAAGGCAACTATCAAACAAGCTGCCCACTTTCCCCTGATCACACAATCAGTGCCTGTCTGAAACTGAGCTTTTTGCCATAATGTATTGGCTTCGCTGTTCAGTGAACTCCCAAGGTCCTGCCTGACACACATGTAAGCTGTCTACCTTGCCTTACTTGGCTGCCCTTCTACATCACGGCTGTACCGCTTTCCATCTCCACCCGGCCTTTGTACGACTTCCTCAAGCTGCTAGCACCGCCAACAGGCCATAACTGGCTATGTATACTCGATACTATCACAGGCATTGGCTTCGTGATACTCTCTCAGTGTGTCCGTGAAGAACACTACTGCACTACTGCCAGTACTGGCTGCTCAGACTACGCTACACAGCCCCCTTCCCAAGCCTGCCAGTAGAAAGGAACGAACCATCTTCATGGTCTTTCTCCCACAACCGTAAAGGGATTTTCCCTAGGCGTACACAGCTTTTCTGTGAAGTGTGGTGACTTCACTCTTCCCATCTACCGGCGGCAAGCCGCGCGGTATCATCAAGATTGTTGCTAGCGCTGGAAACTACACGTGAAGGAACAAGTCATAAGAAATGGCAGCTCACTTTTTAGTTGAAACTAAAATACAGTGAAATTCTGTGTAAACATGGTTGCATTATTTTAGTGAACTAGTCAGGTTTCACGAAACATGTTCTGCCAGTACTATTGAGTAGTGAGTCGTATACGCGTATGTCCCATCGCCTTCCATCCGGCTTCAGCCTGCAATGGCAGCGTGTACGGCGAAAAGCTTTTATCGGGTTCACCGGCACTGTGACAGTGCAATCTCGAGCAGCCATGACCATTGAAACTGTCTGCCCAGATGAGCCGTTGCTAAGGTGCCACTGGACCTGATGCAGTGCTGATGCAGTGCTGAAACTTGTGAAAGTGAGACTGTACTAACTTGTGAGGAGGCTGCAGAACAACCCGCCGCTCCGTGCAATGGATGCCGTCTGGCGTGACTAGCGGAGTGCGTGCCGTCGATGTGGTGGCTGCTTCGAAACAAAGAGAGTTGCGACACGACGGCTAGCTGCGACTGGGAACAACGCTGTAATCGCAGAAGGCGAAAGGTATACTCACCAGTCGTTGAGTAACAGTCGTGCTCGTGTGTACTAGTATCGGGATTTTGAGAGGAAGAGGCAACACCTGTTGGCGCCTTGGATTACAATAGCTGCGACAATTACAAAAGTCGAAAAGAACTAGAGTTCTAATAATTGTTATTGTCTTGAGCAACGCCTGTTTCCACTTGTACCCGCGGGCTGTCAGTGCAGTGTCGACAGCATCCTCTCTCAGTGTCAGTGGCGTGCGTGCGTACGTGCATGCACCAGGTGTCACGTGTCAAGGTTGTGGCGCGAGCGGCGCTGCTTCCGCCAGACTGAGGAGGTTAGATAGAAAGCTACAGCACAGTCAGAGGTACGTGAGCTGACTAGTAATAATTTTTACATTGCAGTGTTTTACACGTTGTATTGTGGACGATGACGTCATCACTGAAGAGGAAGCCCGCGCGCGCACCCTCCGCCCAGTGGAAGGGTTGGTTGAAGATTGACAGCGCAATGGACTTTGAGAATGGAGTGGAGAGACTGCCGTCTTTGGACATGCCAACCGCAGCCACCGTCACCACCCCCACCGCCACGGCCGACCAGCCGAGAGCCGCTGCAGCTGCGATGGCAAGCCCGTCCTCCTTCACGCACCTGAATCTGGCCCTCAGTCACACGCACGGCAGAACAAGCGAGGTGGACAACGAGGATGAGTGTTCGGCCACGCTCAAGAAAACGGGCGCACGTGCTGACCAAGAGTCCGAGAGGCAGCAGCACGATCGACCTGGCAGTCGCAGCAGTGTGCAATGCACACCGGTACCACCAGCCGATGATAGTCCGACAGGTCACGTTACACCAAGATCTTCGTTATTGTGCACCGAACCCGGCGACGACTCAGACACAGCACTAGAACACACGTGCACAGCCGCTGCACTGCCAAGCACGCGCGATGCCTGTGCGGGCACCCTGCCCACGGTTGAGCTTCTCCGTGACATGCACCCTAACAGTGAAAGCTACGACTACATCTACAAGATCATCCTGATTGGTAATCCCAGTGTGGGCAAGACGAACCTTTTCACACGCTTCACGGAGAACAAGTTTCGGCCAAACTCGTGCAGCACGATTGGAGTGGACTTCGCAACATGCTTCCTGAGAATCGACAGTGAGTTTGACTGTGGGATGGGTGTGTGGTGTATGTTGCACCTTGATAGGATTGTGTCAATTATACCGTGACGGTTATCAGGTCCGGGGCCAACTGCTCAGAGATGGTACAGCCGCAGGTCGGCCACTCACTCACACAGCCAATTATTATACTCTATGCCAAATTTCAGTATCATGGGAGAGTGAACCTCTATGCTGCATTGCATCTGGTCTTTTCGGCTACAGTCAGACCTCCCGTATCCGGTCCAATTTATCTGGATCCCCACCATCCGGAAAAAATCGTTGGTTACCGATTTACAGCATATGCCATGCATACATACAGTATGTGTGTTCGATTATTTCCCTCGCCTATCCGGATATGTTTTGTGGAAAACGGATGTATGCGGATATGGGAGGTCTGACTGTACATGTTCAGCTAGGGACATATAGACAGCGCATTAGTCATCACAGGTTAGGAACATTTTTTTAGGGGAGAGACTCTAAGGAGGGGTGTAGGAGAATGGCTATTAGCACTTCTACTTCCGCTGGACATTCCATGAACCCTGGAATCGGTAACAACAGGCACAGCCATGGCCGTAGCAGTGGCACCGACCCTGGTTACGTAACCATGTTGCAGAGCAGGGCTCAATGAGATGAGCGCATAGTGTGTGTTAGCCGCAACGCAATCGATGGATTGAAGCTGCCTACACCCATGCTATGTGACCGGCATGCTAGAACTACAAACAGATCAAGTCATCTGCGCCCTCCAAACCCCCTCCCTCTCCCCCCCCCCCCCCCAGCTAGTACTTGCATGGTCTCATTAGGTTAAGCCTAACTGGTGAGTTCCTGTAATTGTGTATGTTGCACCCACCCGCCCGCATTACTTTTTATGCATTCAAGTGAACAGAAAGAACAAATTTTGGCCTCAGCTATGATAGATACGCTCTTGGTCTACAACCCCTTTACAGATGGTCTTTCAACTCTGGTTCAAATTGATGTGAGAACATGTTGTGGTACCCGAGAGCCGAGGTCACACGTACGTACGTACTCACACATACGCACGCACACACACACACACACACACACGCACACGCGCGTGCTCGAGTCTGTGCTTGTGTGTGTGTGCACACTGACACACACGACGCCGGTGTGCACCAAACCCAGTGTGTGGTGGAATATGAACACTACGTTTTAACCGGAAGTCATCCTTCTATCAGCCACATCAATTTTGTGCTTGGTAAAAAATATTATGCCAAATTATGGATTCGCTCTACGTACAGAGTACTACTGTATAAAGTACACATTTTCGTTTGCAAAATCTTTCATTAGATCACTCCACCAGCAGGTTCGTTGCGTACTAAAATTAGTTTTTGGTCGAGGTCTGTCACCCCGAACGTTCAGAAAAAAACTTAGTTTGGTATAAATTTTAGTTATTTCGTGCCCCCTAACGAACACAGCGAAAGTAAATTCCAAACGAAACTTTGTACAGTGATACCTGTGACTAACGACCACCCCTTGGGGCCAGAGAAAGCGGTCTTTAGTGGCAGATGGTCCTTAGTTAGAGGTTTCCACTGCACAATCATATATAAATGTGAGACCGTCCGTGCCTGGCGACGTGGTCTTTAGTACCAGGCTGGTTGCTAGTCATGGTGGTCTTTAGTTACAGGTGGTCTTTACTCTTTAGTTACAGGTTTTACTCTACTAAGTCTTATACAGTAGTAGGTCAGGAAATACCTTTTCACTGCCATGGGGAGCCACGGTCCCATGATCGGATATCAGATGAAACTCCTAAAAGGTGGCGGGAGAAAGATTATATCAATGAACACTGGAAGGTCAAAGGCTAAAATCGTATTGGCTGGATGTCACTCGTTTGCCACAGTGCAAGTTCCGTTTTGGTTTGAGCAGGAGTACCATGATTGCATACACATCAAATTGTGCTTCGAAACAGACGGATATTTACCACCTTGGTGTTGCAATCCAAATTCACAAATAGGCTGAGCAATTCACCAAATTGATAGCGTTCAGCACGGTGAAGTCCCTGTAAAGTGGTGACTGTTTGAACCAGCTGAAGTGTGACCTGGGTAGAGGAATCCAGTGTAAAATTGGTCTACACGTTTTATTAATTAATGTCATTCATACTCAGGTTATAACCATAAAGCCTTTCAGCACTCTTCAAACCGGTGTCTCTCCTCAGGCCATACTAAAATCAACAGCAGAGTCATAATACAGGCGGACGTGTGTTCCGGCACAGCCGTGGTGCAATCTTATGATCAGGCACTGAGAATGTCTCGTGTTCGTTTTGTGCTTTCTCGCTTTAGATTGCCGTACTGTGAAGGCGCAGATCTGGGATACAGCCGGGATGGAACTTAACCGCAACATCAGTAGCGTGTTCTACCGCAGCGCAGTCGGTGTGATTGTTGTCTACGACGTCACGGACGAAAACTCCTTTGTAAGTCTCGACTATTGGTACCAAGAACTGGACAAATTGTGCAACGAAGATGCAGTGCGGATGCTGATCGGCAACAAAATTGATCTGGAGACTGAACGGACCGTATCAACCTTCCGCGGCCGAAGCCACGCCGAGGAACGGAACATGCAATTCATGGAGACGAGCGCTCTGGCCAGCAAGAACGTGGACAAGGCCTTTTTGGAGCTCTTCGCTCTTTGCGACGCTGGGCTTTTGGCAGCCAGAGCAAAGTCAGATAGTGAGTACATGAATTTTGAGCGCCCCATGCCACCTGGTGGTGGATTCTACCTGCGAGACGACAAATCAAGTCCACCGGAGACTCCGAGGAAAAGGCACAGACGCTGCTGTAAAAGTTCTTGACTTCCGTGCACATGCGGTGGAGAAATGAAAGCTGTTTGTGGAATGTTAGCAAACGTCTTGATCAAGGCCTACTCATATTAAAGTTATATCAGCAAAGAATCTGAATATTTGTAAAAAAAAATGAAAAAAGAGAAAAAATTAAAGCTGTTTATGGAATGTTAGTAACGTCTTGATCAACGCTACTCATATTAACATTTTATCAGCAAAGAATCTGAATATTTCTAGTGTCATGATGAAAGTATTTTGTTATAGTGTACCGGGAAGAGCTGGATTCTCCTTTTGTTAAAACAAGTCATGTGTGGAGTTCTATTTTTTTTCTTCATGTGATGAAAGATGACTACGTTTCGCTTGGCTGCTAATTAATTTGAAGTATGTGCTTGACAATTTGAAAGATCAGAAGTGTTTATAGTACTTTTTACTGCACAATGACTAGATCAACTTCTGGTCCATTCTCTGTACTATGCATACCCCACAAGAAAGTAATGTATGAATCAGTGTTGGGAACCTTGACGATATTCGAAAGAAACGTTCAACCCGGGTGCCGTGCAACATTCGAGCTAGCACTTTCCCCACAGACTTCACACTTGTGAATGACCTTTGAGGCGGGATATTATTATTAGGGACATCTTATTTCAATAGCCAGCACTTGACCGGAAACCTGACCAACGATTGCACTAAGAAAGCCAATACATGTACATGTATTTTCCGGAGTACGAGCCACACTTTGAACACTCAAAATTTGCCCAAGAAAAGTGGGTGCGGTATACTCTGATGATCAAATTAACGGTGATAAAAGATGTCTGTATTTCGTGAGGGAAAAATGGGGGGGGGGGGGGAGTGGTGCGGTTTATACTCCAGTGCGGTTTACACTCCGGAAAATACGGTACTATAATAAGTTTGCCCACAATGCACAGAGCTAATCAATGTACTGAACAAGAAACAGCAAGAGGTCGGGGACATGCGATGCACAGAGATTATTGTTATTATCACAGTAAAAACAAAGCAAAGCTCGCTGTGTTTATCGCAGTTAGAACACGTTGACTTTGATGCGCTGAGCCGGTAAGTTCGATACCTGGTTTTAGGCTGGATGTATTACCCTATTCAGGGCCGGTCAATACAGCTTTGATAAGTTAGAGGGTTCAATGCACCAGAGTGCAGAGCGCTTCATACACCTTAGACATTGGACCCCTTACGCCCATCTCCAGTGCGATAATAGCGGGTGAGCTGAGCAATATGGGGAGTGACGCTTTAAGTCACTCGCCCGGCGAAATGTTCGTCCGCACATGCGTTGAAACCTCTTCGCTGACTCTGATGGGGGAGGAGGAGGTCAACGACGACGACGAGACCACTCCCTCCTCTCTGCCCTGTCTTGTGCCATATCGTACCAGTCACTTTCCGGGATCCCCGCCACGGCCAGGTCAGATCTAGCATCATTACGCCATATCTTCCTGGGGCCATGACCGGAGGCGCCACGACGGAAGATTCCCGAAGAGGACCTGCTTGGGAGGACGGTTGAAATTTATCCCGTCAATATGACCGAGCCAGCGAAGACGATGGCACCGCAGAAGCTCACCGTTGTCTGCAGGGAGTCGAACTCTGCTGCGATCTCCTCCCTGGTGAGCCTGTCCTATCACTGTGTTGGGCAGGATACACCAAGGATGGCACGGGTTGCAAACACACACACACACACACACGCACACACACACGCACACACACACGCACACACACACACCACACCACACAAGCACACACACATAAATGCACACACACACACACATACACACACACACATACACACACACACACAGTCATATTTACAGTTCACAAACTCAAGAAAGACAAATAGCATGATCTGCGTCTTTGGCACCAGCTAAGTATTGGAATGTGCTAGGGTCACCCTGGTTTCAGCTAATTTTCTGCCAGTAATATCTGCTAGTCCCAATTCAACAATTTTACAAAAGCCCAGCAATCCAATTAAGGGACTGTGTGAGCGGGAGTTCTGTCGGACAGAATTACCCCACAGCGGAATAGAACAAAAACGGCCCAGTACCCGACACAAAATCCCCACATTGTATACCCTGTGTAGATATACGATGTACCGTCCAAAATGCTCTCAAGAACGTGCAGCTATTGCCAAGTGAGGCATTGTTGTAGAAGTACCCGGTGTTGCTTATTGTGAAGCCATCCCCCAACTGTCTTCATCCAGTCAAGTGCATGTGGATATGAGCATTGGCAAACGGTTGCAGCCGAGAATCTACGCGATTTGTCTTGTTGTCCATCACCTTGCTAAGACTGAGCTCAGCTTCCATCGTGTCCACAATAAGTAGATTAGTTCTCCAATACTGCACAATGATGCAAAAGACCACGAGAGAGCTTGGAAGCTCAGGGCCCTACGCTATGCTTTTTTGCCTAGCTCATCATGCATGTTATTAGAACTGATGGAAATGTTTTTTTTTCCATTGATTGGCTACATCAAACTTTCTCTTTGCATTTGAGGGTAATACGACACTGTCTGCCACCCTGATGACCTAGGCAAAAAAAGCATAGGGATGTTAAAAAATTTCACTTCTCCTATTTTTTTCAAGACATAACCTGGGATTCGAACCCGCACTATCGCCCTGCATGCATCCCCCAATACACTTCGCATACATACTCATTCTTCCAAGTTGCTTCACGTTGTGATCTTGCATTTGAAAGCCCTATTTGAATATTATTGTAGTCTGTGGGCCAAGTGACAAAAATGTGAATTCTCGTTCCGAGTAAGAGGGCACCGCAATTTTTTTGGCCCAGTCGATAGATGGACTGGCATACATTGAAAACCCGTTTGTTGTCATTCCTGAATTTGTCCAAGGGTTGCACGGCGAGTGAAATACAAATCAGCACCGGTTGCCATGGTAACCAGAACCTAAAATTGGATTTTCTGGCTAATTACAATGTTTTTGGTATTATTATTTTTTCCACAGGGTCATATATCCAGAGTGCCTCCTTCCCAGATTCAACTGGAAAGAGAAAAATATGATATAACATGAAAAATAAAGAAAAACAAAATGCCCAATACGTCCATATTGTTCATGTACACACACGTGTGCAAGAAGACCGCGTGTGTCGAGCACAATACTGTAACTACTTCGAAACATCATTCGAGTCATTGTATACCATTTTATCAGGTCATAATAGGACTGGCTGTGGCATGCAGGTACTGTACATTGCAGAATACTATGTCTGATCTAAGAATATCTCAGACCGTTCAATACAAAAATGGTGTACATTATACAGATATAAGGCAGAACACACAGCCGCATTTATGCATTGCATAGTTATTATATGGGTTGCAGAATAATCTGAAAGTCCAGAGAAAGGATCACAACACTGTGACCATCAGCACAGGTCACTGACAGACCAGACCTGAAGGACCGCGTGACCCCAGAAGACTACGTTTGTTGCAGCTGTGTACGAGGGAGACTTCGTCATCATAACACTGACTTATACTGCAGGATTAGCCATACGGAATATGTTTCATGTTGCCAAAAAAGGTCGACCTGTAGAGAATAATCAGGTCACAGAAAATACACAATTCCAATTCCAATGATCACCCAACGTGTGGACAGAACTAGTTCGTCCTCTGTGGACTCATCAGCGCAGCACAGAGGAAATGAGGCCGAAGCCGATGGCAATGAAAAATAATCGCAATGATCATTCCCGTGCATTTTTATATCTCCCACATTGATTTTAGTCCACATGTGATATTGATACTGAACACTGGGCAAACATCAGAAGGACTTGAATTGGGCATGATGTACAGTCACGTACATGTTCATGATTGTACAATGTGCATCACTGAACTCTAATGAACACTCAATCTTCAATCACATTATACATACCTGTCAGGATGGGCATTCTTTTTCTTATTCATCCTCGTCTTCACTGAGTTCTGCAGTTACTTGAAGCTCCAGTGGTTGCCCATTCCCACACTCCTGGCCCGAGTGAGAGCACTTGCAAGCATCCGTGCAATTGAGGTGCTGTCTCCGGCAGGAGCAATGTCCGTGCTTGCAGCCTGTCGTGCAACCGCATGAAACAAATTCCATCAGGCTCGATGGTGCTGGTGCCAAGCTGAGCCAGTCCACTTCCAAACCACCGCCAGAATCAATGGTCCACCCTTGACCAGGGCTATGCGGTGGTGGGACATCCGCGGAAGCTTCCAGAGCACGGTGCCAGATACTGGCCTGGTAATTTGCTCCTGCAGCATGCTTGCGCAGCGCATCTTGGCAAGGAGGAAGGGAGCTGGATTGCGTCGAGCGAGAGCAGAACATCTGGTATCGCACTTCGTTGATAGATGTGGCGGTGTTGAAGCCGTATATACCGCAAGTGAACTGCTCGATGCAAGCGAAAATGTCAGCTGGTAGTGCGTCAAATGATGCACTGAGTGCTGCCATAGCCTTTCGAGCCAGCTCGCCTTTTGGGGTTTGCTTGGTGATCAGCTGAAATGCTAGCTTCTTCCCTCTGCCACTGAAGGCACTGGTTGTGTCACAACCTGTATAGGCATGCATCCCCACCATGGCTTCGCAAACAGGGGCACTAAGCTCTCGTGTAATTCCTGTAGCATTGTTTATGGTAGTTAACCTCGCGCGCAAACATTCCAGAGACGGATTGACCAATTGCAACTTGGACCTTTTCGTCTTTTCTGACGTTTACTGCGTATAACATGTACATAACAGCTTCGCTGCAGCGTGTGCGTATTCACACCTGCTTGTGGACTGGACTACAATTCTTCCGGCCAGGTTGCTGGCGTCTCTCCTTCCCACAAAATATGCAGCCCTTCATGCCTGGAGCTACGACGGGCGCGGCTAGTGCGGCGCGCGTGCTGGGGCGGCGCTTGGCTTCTGGCTCTATCGACTCCGGCACAGACAGTTCTTCCGAATGGCTAGATGAGGGGTACTCTGCCTTCGTCGGAGGGTTATATTCGTTATTTTCTGGTAACATTTTCTGTGGAAGCCTCCGTTTTCAGGCCAAACATCACTACGACATAACTCCCTGAGCTCAGCTAAATTTTCTACGGCAACAGCTTCACTAGTGCATATTTCACACACCTTCTTCCACGTTGTCTGGGTGAAGGGCTTCACCTCCTCACCGCACTCCGGAACTTGAATGAGACACTTTAAAGTCATCACGACGCTTACTTCTAGTGCTACTTGACCACAGACATACTAGTACAAACTGAAACCAAAAACCAATCTCGAAATGAAAGTTCAAACTGAGAAGGAAGCTGCCAAGTATAGTGGGTGCACGCCTGCACTGCAGTGCAGAGAGTAAGAATTGTGGGTCCGGGTGCACACCTGGAGAGAGTGTGCAGTGTACCAGATCGTACCAGATCACGACTTGACAAGACAGGTAACACTGAATTCGTGTACTTTCGTCTATTCTGGTGCATAATCACATTTCACAGCACCACACACAACGTGCATGCACTGATGAATGCATACAAAACAATGGCCGCCGAGAGAGAAATTTTCAACATGGAAAAGCCGATGTTTGGATACCTTTCAGAAAGTTGTCAGAGTGACAACAACCGGGATCCTGCTCAGTAAGGTATCTAGAGTAGAGGTGGCCAATAAAATTGCGGTGCCCAAAAGTCGGAACGAGATTTTTCTAGGAGGCCTTTTTTCAGGTTTGGCCCACGGACTATTGTGGCCAGCTGTCTTTGATGGTACGGTACGGTATGGGACAGGTATGGTCAAGGGTAATACGACACGGTCTACCACCTTGATGACCTAGGCAAAAAAGCATATGCAGGGGCGTAGCACCCGCTGACTGGTACGACCATGGCCGTACCACTTTTCGAAAAGTGTGGTCCGTCCGAAGCGTGCAAAACCGTAATAAAAAAATCAGGATCCATCGATGCATATGCGCATCAGACTTTGACCTTTTTCTAGACTCGTAGATCTACTCGTAGATCTGTTATGCATCTGCAGTCGTACTGAGTACTGTACTCGACTCGACTGCACATTACATGTACACTGCGCCAGAAGTGTGCCAGGAGTTCCCAGAACGCAGGATTTTGTGTCTTTTTTACAAAATTTTCCCGGGGGAGGTCCCTCCGACCCCCCTCCGACACGGCCTTTGGCCGCACCGACCTTTGGTCGTACCACTTCCAAAACCCCTCCTACGCCCCTGATAGGGATGTTATAAATTTTCCTTTCTCCTATTTTTTTCAAGACATAACCTAGGATTTGAACCCGCACTATCGTCCTGCATGCATTCTCCCGATGCACTTCGCATACATACTCATTCTTCCAAGTTGCTTCACATTAAGATCTTGCATTTGAAAGCCCTTTTTGCCGTTTGCGGCCAGCTGTCTTTGATGGTACGGTACGGTACGGGACAGGTACGGGATAGCGCCAGGCATGCCGATGGCACAAACAAACAAACACGGAATTAAAGCAGTGTGGACCCTGGCTAGCGCCAGAAGTCACTGAAGTGATGTCTTTTGCATAGCTACGGCAATAAATACGTGTTCTTTGTCACCCTGCATCCCGGGCGTGGAATGGCTGTCATTCAACCCTTTCTACAAGCGGTGCCGATGTACATCCCAAATGCCAACTGTAGCAGTACGTCCCTCACTGTGATGTCACTGAGAGAATAATACACAATAATACAAATACATTCAAGAGCCTGTGCAAACAAAACAGAAATAATTAATCGGAACCTTGCTCCCCTCGCTCCTCACAAACATGCACACACACACATACACACACACACACACACACACACACACACACACACACACACACACACACACACATACCCCCCCCCCCCCCACACACACACACATACACACAATACTATATCAACGGTAGTGCAAAGCACTGCCACGCACTCTCGAAACAGTGCCAGATATGGTACACAAAATGCTGCTATTGGCCTACAACCCAAGAAATGAACATCACCAATACAATCTCCAGCCCGGAAAGGAACTATTCAGCTGAATTTTCAGATATGGCCATCAGACAAGCATTATCAAGGAAGCAGCATCTTCCCAACAACAACTGCCATTCAACACACCATTCACAGACATAACTATGAATTCTTAGTCGGCTGGTTGAGGACACCCTGTACACATGCAGTTCAGCAATAGAAAGCCTCGGCATCAGAAATTTAGCATGCTGTGCCGTTTCAACATCAGAGTGGTGACCGGTGACATTCGTTCAGTGACAATGCCCCCCCCCCCCCCCCGAGGTGAATCTGCATACGGGGATAATCCACTCTAGCATCCACCTGGTTTAGCTAGTAGCCCAGTGGCCCAGTATGTGACCCAGCTCTTGCACGGCACACACAGAGCCAGAATGCATAGCTCTTTTGCAGCCAGCTCGTCAGGCTATTCGAGGCAGCATGCCAGAACAGCATGCCTGGTACAGACTGCAGAGTCCGAAAGGACGCAGTGTGAGCTGTCAGCCATAGCTCTGCCCTGTCAACTGCTAAACTATCCACCATGAACTAAATCAATGAACTCACCAGCCATGCCGGAGGCCATTTTCAGGCGTGCCAATCTGTTCGGGATCATCGAAAGTTCTCAGTCGTGCCAGCTTGTCTTCAAATGTGCCACGTTCTGTCATGTAATTGCAGACAGAACAGGACAATATGTCCCACCGTCTTCTCATTGATTGACATACTGTGGCCATCCACTCAAACCATAGCAGGACCTGGGGATAAACAATGAGCAGAAAAAACAGACCTGGAATGATGATGACTGTGTTTTTATCTCAATACTGCACCACCACTGGTGTGTATAGCATGCCGCAGTGCTTTACCCAATCCCAGTGGTAATATATTAATTTGCTTGTGGCGTACCACTGTATCTCCATTAAATAATCTGGAACTCGGCTTGCATCAAAACTCTCTTTCTCCTTCTTACAATCAGAACCATTTTGGGAATAGTTACACTCGGGTGGAGAACCAAAGATTGATTTATAAGAAGAAAGAGGACCAAAGAGCGACAAGTTGAGCTACACTACCCACTAACACCACCAGTTACTTTACAATCAGCTCATGCGATAACATTGCACGACACTGACCAACGGTACTGACGTTCTACAACTAACTGGCCCCTCCTAATGCTATTTCTATAACTTAGAACCTTTCAAGCCGGTAGGCTGTTGGAGTGCGCATCCAAGACGTGCTAGAGCTGATTACCAGTTAGTTGTAGAATGTCAGTACCGTTGGTCAGTGCCGTGCAAGAGTATCACATGAGCTGATTGTAAAGTAACTGGTGGTGTTAGTGGATAGTATAGCGGAACCTGTAGCTCTTTGGTCCTCTTTCTTCTTACTTTTGGAATAAATCGTTTTTCAGTATTTAATCTTTGACTTTGCAGAGGGAAAGAATGCGTATGTCCATGCCACCAGTGTCAGCCAAGTCTAAGACCTATCCACGTAAACAAAAACTAAACATATGCAAATCATTAATGGTACTTCCAAGTACATAATCACACTTCTGCTGCACGGTCATGGCATGCAGTAGTGCATACACAAAACATCCTTTCAGGCCAAGGATACTCATCAGACTCTACAGATGCAGTCTAACTAGCAACAAGTGCCGGTAATTGGATTATCGAATTATGTAGCATACGTATTTCTTGTTCGTGAGTCATGGCTTCTGCCGCATTGAATGCTGGTGGTGCCCTAAGAGAGACCGTTGCTGAAAAACATGCGTGCAAGTTCACAAACACACACACACACACACACATACACACACATGTTTGGTTTTGAAAGAGGCAGCAACAGCTACTTGGAGGGTTCCGGTAGCAGCGCCACAATAAGTCACTTTTTCTACTAGACCAAGCAATGATGTCATCGCTTACTTCCCTCCTACACTACAGATCACATTGTAATAATATGTACTGGCTACATTTGCGAGGTTGAAATTCACTGATCAGCTAGCACTGCAGCTATACTCAATGCTAGCTGATCTGTTACCTGCACCTTCACCCAGTCTAGTTTCGAACATCTTTGCTCCTGAAAGCCACACTCCATAGAAACATTTTTCTTATAGTCCGAAAACTCCAACGCAGTCACTTACACAGGAGTGCAATACATGCATAGAAACATTGTTTTCTTTGTTCAGAGCCACGTGTGTGTGTGTGTGCGTGCGTGCGTGTGTGTGAGTGTGTGTGTGTGTGTGTGTGTGTGTGTGTGCGTGCGTGTGTGTGAGTGTGTGTGTGTGTGTGTGTGTGTGTGTGTATGTGTGTGTGTGTGTGTGTGTGTGTATGTGTGTGTGTGTGTGTGTGTGTATGCACGCAAGTGAGGACCGGCGTTGTGAAAAGTGATTTGATAGACAATTTGCAGTTTGAACTACTAGTCCGCTGACTTGAGTTGAGGGTCCAATATTACCAGAACTCGGGGGGGGGGGGGGGCACACGGCAAGGTCAAGGGGGCATCACGGACTGTGCATGACCAAGTGAAGACTGCATCTGATTACAAAGCTAAAACCGCCATCGTCGGTCCTGCGTCCCGCTGCCTTACGGACCAGGCATTATTATTTATACACACCACAAACTTCAAAGGCTACGTGTGTTCCGTGTTGCGTAACAAGAGGGAGGCTTCCAGCGGCAGCAATGATTGTGTGTGTGTGTGCGCGCGCGCGCGCGCTCCAGGGTCGTCCCACACTAGCCCTACGAAAGCAGCCGTACCAGAATGGCGTGCGAACTTCAAGAAGAGCACCACAAACTAGAGTCGAGAGCCTCCGCATCGCCTCAAGGACAAACATTATGGCAGCGGGTCTGGCGATTGTCCCAGAAGCGGGGACATTATGCAATATCGACAACCACTCTTACTGTCACGGCATTACGGCTCTCAAGATGTGTTGCAGCAGACTTTTCAGTGGCGGATCCAGGACTTGGCCGAAGAGGGGGCCCAAGGTATCCGCCCCCCCCCCCCCCCAAAACAAAACAACAAATACAACAACAACAAAGTCCTGAAGCTGTGAAGAGCAGTTGTTTTTAGGGTCCGGCGGATTCTGCCGGCAGAAAAATTGACAGAATTCGGTACTTTTTCTGGTAAGTTTTATGGATGTTTGGTATGTGGATAAAAATACTATAGTATGGAGCAGAATTCGAGGAATTGCCCGCCATAAGGTTTGTATGATTCTGCCAATTTCACTGCTTTTCGAGCAGAATATGCCACCTTTTCGAGCAGAATCCGCCGGTTTCTAGTTTTATTCCATTCTCACGACATTTTCAAACTGCACTGGAACATTTCCACTCGACAGCGGCCGCGACGGACCTTTGGACGGCTCTCCAACGCGAGCTCTCTTATCTACCGGTCCACTGAAGAACGACCTGATGTCAGACCCTTTCCTCTTCATCTCATATCTGAAGGTAACCCGTTGGCTACAAGCGAAGTAGAGAGCTAGAGAGCGTATACTTGTAGTTTCTGACAATTGAAAAAGAAAAAAGGAAGGACGAAGTCGACAGCACCGTGCACCAAACAGGACTTCAGCCCAACGCGATCGCTGCACTATGTACCAGGCCCTGCATTTTTGGCACGTTTTTCACATGTTTGAAGTGCGGCCGTGTCCTCAGGTCGCAGTGCGTACAGTAGTTGTACACCGGTACACAGCGCGCTGACTAGTACAGACTCATGCTCGGTGCGTGACACCATGTACCGGAGTGATCGGACACGTATAAAAGTACCCAGCACGCGTGACCCACTTGACACGCCAAGTAATTTCGAGCGCTCATTCTACAGTCTACTGTAATCCTAGACCAAGGTCGAAATTTTCAAAGGGGGGGCCCAGGCCCCCTGGGCCCCCCCCTGGATCCGCCACTGCAAAGTTTTGACACCCGCGGAGGAAGTTCATATCCAGGTCGAGTGGCCGCTCCTTTCCTTTCAGCACGGAGACACACTGTTGACTAGCTGATTCTGTCAAGTATTCCAGAATCACTACACAGGAAGTAAGAAAATCGATCGTTGTAACAAGTCACATGCAAGCGCGTGGTTGTGACGAGTTGGGAATGCAATAAATTGGAAATATGGCCGAAAGCTCTGTCGCAATATTTAGTTCACTTCTTCTTCTTCAGCCTCAGTGTGCAGGTCAGCTCAGGCAAGCGTGGATATCGTGGTGTGTAGATCTACATCTACGTCACACCGTTATCATGATTGGACTCGGATGGAGAGCCAAGGATAAAATTAACTATTTTATAGAAAAGAAAAAGGACCGAGGCTCGAGGAACTACAAAAAGTACAAGTACAATAATTAGTTACAATCTGTCAATCATGTCCACTAACACCACCAGTTGAAAATGCTCATGCGATAACATTGCACGACACTGACCGCCGGTACTGACGTGACGTACTGACTAGCTGGCTTACAGCTCTAGCACATCTTGGATGCGCACTCCAACAGCCTTCCAACTAACTTACTTGGAAGGTTCTAATCTAAGCTATTGTAGTGGATATACCAGGTACTAGTACTAGTAGTCATTATGCGTAACTAACTAACGTAACTTGTTCCTTGGTCCTTTTTCTTTTCTATAAAATACGTTATCATGATGATCAATTATTTCACTTTGAAGTAAGCAAATTTTGTTGATTTAGTTTCATTAGATGCGTGCATATCATGTTAGCTGGGAGTCGTGTCGCGTAGGCAAACCTGTTTTCAATTTCGGTATGACTGATGACTCCCTGGTGCAGACTGGTGCAGCTCTTACGAATCCTGAATTTGCTGAAACACAGATAAGAATGAGCATCCGACTCGTACATCTAGTCGCATGCACGGTAGCTCTTGGCCTATCATAATACTCGAAGAAATGGCAGACTCTGCTAGAGAGGCAGTGAAATAATTGGCAGAACCATAGAAGCCTAATCGCAGGTACTTCCTTGAATTTTGCCCCATTTCTTTATCCACATACATATAATATGTACATGTACCAAACATGCATGAAACATACTAGAAAATGTACCAAGTTCTGCCCAATTGTCTGCCCGCATTATCCGCCAAAGGCAACATCACAATGCGAAAGGTGTCGTGCGACACCAGGTCCTGATCCTGTTCGTGAAATAGCCGTGTACCGTGACAAAATACTTGTGCTGGGGGGGGGGGGGGGGGGGGGCAGGAAGGGGTTGCCGTGGTCACTTCAACAATGGGGCTGAAGCGTTATCGACGTGATCCAGAAATTCGATGCCACAGTCAGCATGACACACATAATTTTCATTGCATGTTTTTAGGGGGGGGGGGGGATTAGGTGCACACGGCCGCGTTCTCTAAAAAAAGGTTATAGCACTTCGAAGGAAAATGGATAATTTCCCTGTCAGATAACGTGTGCAGACTGCAGAGGGTATCGGAATGAGAGGCCACTCTGCTGATAAAATGTTTTTCTTCATTGAACGAGCTGGTCCCTGATGGCGTCCAGAACATTGTTCATGCTTGGTCCGAAGAACGAGCCCTTTTAGATGTAGAGTATGGCAGGGTTCGGTCAGACGTCTCTCTCCCTCTTCCCTATCTCTCTCTCTCTTTCACACACACACCTCAGACCTGCCCATCGCGGAAGCGATGATAGCGAACAGCTATGTTAGACATAGCAACTTGTGCTGGGATTACACCATTCAACAGCTTGCAAGGCTGATGAATTGACCGCCACTATTTTTAGCCTGGTATCCACCACACAGCTGATTGAAGTGACTTTTTCTGGCCAGTGAATCCCTATTTTTCATTTTTCCATTTTTTTCTTTTTTCTTTTTTTCTACACACACACACCACACCACATACTCCGGCATACACTGGCTGTTGGTAACCACCCAGGAGAATGAAAGAAAAGTCAGGAAGAGACCGAGAAAGAGAAGAAAGACGTGTGCGACCATAATCGTCGGGAATTGAACCCGCAACCTCTCGATTGGAAATCGACTGCACATACCACTGCACCATATGGGACACCCACACCCACACACACACACACACACACACACCACACTCACACACACACCACACTCACACACGCGCGCGCGCGCACACACACTTCGTGCGTAGGAACATCAGAAACGTACATGTTACTTCCTGGAAAATGTAATTAATTTTGTGCTCTGTTGTTGTATGCTTTGCGTGGAAAAGGATCATTGTGACGAAAGGTGGCAAGACACAGGGAGTCAACAGGCGCACAGAGTGAGCATCGACCTTACACCTTCGTACTTCCAAGTACTCTTCACCATCTCTTTGACTTGGAAAAGCGAATCTTGCAGAACTGATGAAAATTCAAACGAAGGCACCGTTTGATGTCGCCTTGCTGACGCAGTTTGCGGTGATGACCAACGTCCAGAAGAGACGGACTGCACACGATATGAGCGTACCTAGTACTAGTAGGTGGATTACCCATGTAAACAGCAGAAAACCACGTTGTATCATCGGTATGGCATCACACCACTGACTGTCTGTGCATTATTCGCAATGCCACGTAACCCGCAGCGTGGCTGCAGGTTGCATTTCGAGTTTTACCAACACCGACTGCGCGATCCGTTGTAGACTCAAAGAAGTAACTGGCATGCCAAAGCCAAATGCGATGGTGCCTCTTGATCTTTCCAACGACCGGTGGATGGTTTGGCCCAGGGAGTCGTACAGTCTATACGACTCCCTGGTTTGGGCGCGCATAAGACGTGTATGATGATGCATAGTGTATTAGCGGTATGTAGTGACACTGAGGGGACGCCGCTGACAGTACCTACACGTGTTTGCACTGCGGCGTGTCCCAGTCCTGTCGCAGGGCCCATCAGCCACGACTCGTTCCGGACAGCAGGACCAAAGCCAAAGGTAAAGGTAAAGGGTAGAATCTCCATGCTCGCATGGGACTATACCATTCGTCGATGATTCGGACCAGCAGGCGGAGTGCCCAGTGCTTGTTTTGGCACAATGCCAGGACTTTTATTCCCTGCGCTGGAGACCATGCCATACACACATGCAAGCAAAGTGAACTGGAACGATCACGTCGCCAATTCAGCAATTGTCATTGTAGTAGAATGCTGTTCTAGCTCTCTGCACATAATCATACCCTCTGATGTTCTTGATTAGCTGCTTCAGTTCATCGCCTGTTCACACACTGGAGCTAGCTCGATGGGTGCTACGCGTACATTTTCTAGCATCACCTGAGCAGCTGATGTGGCATTTCTCCGAACCTTATCTTCTTGAATCGCTTCGTTTCAGTCACTTGTTTGTCTGCCGTATGAACTCCACGTGATCGACATGCAGTTCGAAGACTCGCGAGTCCCTAGCCTAGGCTTTGGATCGACTTCAGATCTGAGTCAGCAGAGGGAGCATACATGTATGTGTGCATGCCTGCATCATCAGTGCATGGACACACACACACACACACACACACACACACACACACACACACACACACACACACACACACACACCTAATCATGATGATCATCCCATACATGTACTTGACTGTTTACATGGATCGAACGCACCCCGACAGCGCTACCGAACACAAGCACGACATTATTGCTGGCACACAAAACTTTTGCACGACCCAAACACGAATCGCACGCGGTGGTGCATTGAGAGGATTTGGGACTAATAATTTTGGCGCGATGCCAAAACCCAACATGCGCACCGAGATTATGATACTTCAGGCCCCTCGATAACCAGGAAAAGCCTTGATTTTCATCGTCGAAAGGTTACATGGTTCGAAGGCCGGCCCGCTACACCTGACATGCAACACGTCATTCCCAAGTTCACAAAAACATCCAAAGACACGTATCCGCCCTATGCCCTGAGCACCTCCATTGATTAGCATTTCAAGTTTAATACTTCCGAAAAATGCGCGCGCAATGGCGACTGCCCAGCTGCAGAAGCAGGAGAAAGGAATACATGCATGCTTTGAAAGTTGAATCTCTCTTCAGCCAGGAAGTATATCGCTCGTCGTATTTACAAAGGGTTGTTGCTGATTGAAGTGTGTTCCCCCAGCTGTTGGTGGCCTTTCTACGATTTTATACTGAAATTTAAGCCAGAAAGTGTCCTTTATTGGGCCTAGCAGTACGCCATTATGAAGCGCAGACACGAGGAGATCGATGACGATGATGAAGACCATCAGAAAGAACACATTCATCCGCGTTCCGAGGGGTTGCAGCAACCCCCGCAGCCACACTACCAGCCTCACTATTGGCAATCACCTGCCACTCCTCAGCCACCACCACCACCACCAGGCAGGATTGTTATGATAACAGCACCCTTGTGGACGTCAGATAAACGTGCTGTGAACGCAGGTAAGACCGTTAAAGCCGAATAGGCATAGAGAGAGAGAGAGAGAGAGAGAGAGAGAGAGAGAGAGAGAGAGAGAGAGAGAGAGAGAGAGAGAGAGAGAGAGAGAGAGAGAGAGAGAGAGAGAGAGAGAGAGAGAGAGAGAGAGAGAGAGAGAGAGAGAGAGAGAGAGAGAGAGAGAGAGAGAGAGAGAGAGAGAGAGAGAGAGGGAGAGAGAGAGAGAGAGATAAAGAGAGAGAGAAAGAGAGAAATAAAGAAACGTCGCAAACTAGGAGAGAAAGTAAGAGAGAGAAAGAAATATTCAAATATTTCGCTGCTGATTGTTGATTAATAATTCCCAACAGTAAGAAATCCGGATTCTTTCCGATCCAACAGGTTCATTACTGAGCTTCAAGCTACACGGGGTAAATGTGGCTGCTCCTGTAGAAGTAATTTTCAAAGTGAGGAGAGAAAGTCCTGATACTTCGTGCTAACATGATGAGAGTGCAAGAGGAGAGGAAGGAGAGAAAGATAGATAGATGGAGAGAGAGAGAGGGGGAGAGAGAGAGAGATAGAGAGAGAGAGAGAGAGAGAGAGAGAGAGAGAGAGAGAGAGAGAGAGAGAGAGAGAAAGAGAGAGAGAGAGAGAGCGAGCGAGAGCGAGAGAGAGAGATAGGGGAGAGAGTGAGAGGGATAGTTGGAGAGATGGAGAGATACATTTGCATACACACAAAGAGAAATTTAGTGAGAGGAGACAAACTATATATCCATTTTCGCGGTTCCTCACGTTAGTTCTACATAGTTATGTACATGTTTATTCATGACATCTATTAGTGTTCTTACAACACTCTTTGCTCCACAGGATAATATATTAACAACACACAATGGTCGTACTAGCCTCGGAATATTATACTAGTACTGTAGAAAATACAAGCCAGACCAAACAGGGAATGAAAAAAGAGTGTACAAGTTGTTCGTTGTTTGTGTCCAACACTAACAAAATTAATCATAGGCAAGATACCGGTGAGTCAGAAAGTTCAACAATTAGAACAACACTGACTGATGTGATGTTCAAACAAGGAATCACGGAGCTACTCACCTTATCAGGGCTATTCTTTAAAAGGCTCAGGTCAGCACATATACATTCACGCTGAAGATCGAATGATCAGCAACCTTCCATTCTCCGCAGTCTCAAGGACCAAACCAGTATCACTGGACAGCAGGACAGCCCTATGGTCCTGCAGTCATAAACAAACAGAGAGACACAGATGTACATGAAGTAAACAGTGGCAAAATCAGAGCATCGTGTGGATGAAGTCTCAATGTTAAAAATGGCGTCCGAGCAATGTTGTCCACAGAGGTCTATACAGAATGGTCCCTGAGAGTGTTTCGTACTAGTATTATGTACATGACTGTATGGCTACTGTGGTTCCCAAAGAGTAAGCATCAGCTAATGTGGTTCTCCATGATTTATTCAAAGCCCCACAGCAGTGAATAATGGCAAGAGGGTACAAGAGGATAGCTGGATTGCTGTGGGTACTGGGTAGGTACAGACCGTGCAGTATACATACACGTAGATTGCTGTGGGTAGGTACAGACCGTGCAGTATACAGACTGTAGAGGAAATATGCGAATACACATCATTGTATACACTCGTGTCTGTTTTTTATGGAATGGGTGGTATCCTGAAGATGGAGTAGTACTACAGTTTCTAGTCCATGTGCCATTTCCTCAGAGTTTTAATGTGCATGTGTTTCAAAGACATGTTCCGAGCTGGGACGATTCCCCAACGAACATTGCTAGAATTACACCACATCTCATCATCTTCCGGCATAGGTTTGAGGTGTAAAGAAATTTTGATTTTGGCAATGGCTGTTAATGGAAACTGCTCATGTATCCAACATGACGAAGGCACTCATCCAGCTTGTGCTGCCTGGTTGAACGAGAATTTGAGATGGTTCTTTTTTTGATTTCTGATGTGCGTGTGAGCCATATCAAGTTTTTTACCATACACTTTGGGGAGGCAAATGACATTCCGAAGGTGAAAAACAGAATTCCGTCCCCTTGCGCCGCTATCCGAAGATGCTAGGTCCTACAGCCATACCCTGCACACATAACACGAAGCCAGCATGCATGCTATGGAACTGTTTACCGCTATCTCTCACTGCTATGATCTGTCTCCCCGAATTCAAACATCCCCTCTTCCAGCATTTTCGCCCATACACCCCTACACTGAGGGTATACCAACACCTTGACTTGCGCAACTGCTGTGTCTGCTTCTTCTCTTCGTTTTCTTTCCTTGTACTCTTGTACTCTTTCCCGAACACATGATTTTCCCTGATGAATGTCTCTAGAAAACGTGTTCTTCACATGATATTTCTGTGAGTAGGCGATCCCCTCTACAAGCCTAGACTAGAGCCTCTGGGTAATCCGTTAAATACAATTAAATACAAAATTACAAAATACAATACAAATACATGTGTACTAGAGAAGGAGGAAAGGAGATACGAACTCTCATTGATCAACTAGACGAATCAGTCGCTCATTCTGTCCATACGACAAACCCATGGTGACAGTGTGCTTTCAGGTTATTCTTGTGAACATTGTACAGTATGCTGCCTCCGCTTGGATCCATTGGATTTGTCTGGTTTCAGCATCATTATAACTATTAAAGCAAGCCTAGACGAGAGATATTAACCCACACATATACAAATTTAGAGAAGTAGAGAACGTCTTCCCAAGTAGTAGTAGTAGTAGTAGTTGGGGAGTACGCTCGTCACGAGTCAAAACCTTTACTTGGCTCAGCTTGATACAGTGCATACTATTACATGAAGATCAATCAGTACGGAACATTCATAGCACTACTTTTTAGCTCTGCCCCCATGGGAAGGCCTCTATCCGCAGTATCTGATTCACGGCGTGTTATGACAATTGACAGTAGCGTAGACTACTGTCTGAGCTGCGCTATCGCACACGGGGCGTGGATGGCAGAGAATGCATGGCTGGATTGTGCAACGAAATGCAATGCAGTACATGCATGCAGCTACCACTACCACTAGGCACTAGTAGTAGTAGTAGTACTAGTAGTACCAGTGACAAAATGGGCAGACGGCGCGCCATGCATGCGAGAATCATGACTTGCGACAAACAGGTGTTGGCACGTTTTCGGCTAGGCCCTACATAGCATTCGTAGTCTAGTCGTAGACA